TCTTTCCTAAAATGAGATATGTCGAAGTTATTCACACCAACGGCGCATTCAAAGGAATGTACGATCCAATCGGAACGGCTGATTTCTACCCAAATGGCGGATTGAGACAACCCGGCTGCTCGAATGATCTATTTGGCCAATGGTCACACTGGCGTGCAGTCAAATATTTTGCTGAAAGTATTTACTCACCTATTCAATTCTACGGATATCCATGCGCCTCATTCGATGATATGAAAAAAGGAAATTGCACGGGTGCCAAATTGCGAATGGGTGGAGAGCCCGGCAAGTACAAGGCGTAGGTTAAAGAAATTTTTGCATTTTAACAATGTGGATTGCATTCTCTTCCTTTTTTCCAAATAGCGAAGCCAGCATTTACTACTTGACTACAAATTCGAAGTCGATTTTCGCCCGCGGTCTACCAAGACAAACTCTAGGGGGATTTCTCATGACAAAAAATGAATGAATTCTTATAAATTTTGAAAAATTTCTTCAATTCGGTCCGATTCGATCAATTTTTGTCAATTCGTGTAAATAAATGTACATTTACACTGAACTGTTGAATTATGCTTCAATGAAATTGTTCTGAAAGTGGGTTTTGGTGGATCTCAAGGATCGTTCAGAACTGCTCCCGGTTCTGGAAGTGGATCTTCAGGATGGGCCAGGGCAATGTCAAACCGGATCTGGTCCATTCTGAAGATCCTCCAAAACCCACTTCCAGAACACTTTTATTCAAGAAAAATCGTCATTTCAGTACATTTTCATACAATTTCAATAAAAAAGAAGAAATAATAGAAATTTTTGCACATTTACTCAAGCTTTTTGTGTGAGAAATCCTCCTAGACCAAACTTTTTGATCATTTCAAGAAATGCACGATGAAAGGTTCAAGGAGACTTTGCTCAAATAGGTTCCAACGATCTGTGTATAATAAGTTTTGAATCATTTTAAACCAAAGTTGTTGCATACAGTTATTGTAATAATTCCCAGATGAATAAATTTTACGCCGAATTGAAGTCGGATTTAAATGGGACACAATTCTGCTTTTGTTTTATTCATTCACATGATTTTTCATTCTTTTACAATAAATCCTTAGGTATAATACGGCTTGTCTTCTTTTCTTTTAGAAAGGCCCACTTTGTCTCGTCTTTTGGAACATTAGTTGTTTGTCGTGCTTCATTTCTTGTAAGAGTGTGAACATCAAAAACCAGAATCTCCACTATTATTCAACCAGTTTTCGATATCCGATCGAAAACCGGAAGTAAATTCGATATGTGATCAATATTATATGAAAATTCCCAATGCAATCAATAAACCAGATATTTTCCGTGTGAAAATTGTTCTGTTCGTGTTATTAAAGAGATCTAGTTAGATTATCTATGCTTTCATAAAAACTAACAAATTTCCCTTTGTAACATTTGATCATTCAGCAAAGGCGCTGTATTAGCAATGGGTGGAGAGCCGGGCAATTACAAGGCGTAAGTTATAGATATTTTTTCATTGCCCGTTAATAAGATTGCATTTTCTTTCTTTTTTTGAAAATAGCGAGGCCAGCATTTACTACTTGTCTACAAATACCGAAGCGAGGTTTGCCCGTGGAGTGCCTATGCTACTTGGTTTAAATGGTTTTCAATCATTTGGAGAAATAGATAGTCCTCCTCCCATTCCCGTTTACTAGGTGGAAATTTCTTGATTTTCTTCGTGATTGCCGCCTTCCCGATTATTGGAGCAAGTTCTTGATTTGGGCCGAATTTCACCCGATTTCCAGCACATTTTCCCGATTTTGAGTTTTTTTGAAACATTTCTTCATAGTAATTTGAATAAAATTATTGTCCAACTTAAGAATTAGCAGGATACAAAATTAAATACAAACATGTGTTTTAAATATGAGTAGGGGAGAGGTTTTGAATGTATGGATACCGTTGGAAAGAGGATCTAAAGAGCTCACACTTTGCCAAAGAAACTTTTCCGATTTACTTGAAAAAGACATTTTTTAAACCAATTTTCCTCACAGGCTTCAAATTGAGAAAAAAAAATTTAGGCTTGTAAGTTGAGCCACCCTAAAAAAATCACTTAAAATGTGACAAATATCAGTCAAAAACGCCTGAATTGCCAAAATTTTAAATTATAGTGAATTTTTATATGTTCTATGGATTTCAGATACAAATATCAGTGAAAATAGTATGAAAATGAGGAAAATCCTCAATATCATCATCAAAATCGTAATTTCATTGAAATATATTAAAATGCTTTAAAATTGATTCTTTTTCCGCTTCAAACAGAAAATAATCATGAAAAAAGCATCAAAATACAAACTCAAGTGAATAACAATGGTATTTTGCCTACATTTTCAGAGGTGGCTCAACTTACATTCTTGTAGACATTTAAAAAAAGTTGAGGAAAAACAATTCCATATCACGATATGTTTAGAATTCTCTTCAGGTTTTGAAAATGCAATAAAAATAGAACGCAGCCATATGTTTGCCAACTTTATCTCATCGATGAAAATCATTCACTTTATGGATGTATACAAATTTTGGAATTTTAATTATTTTTCATCAAATCACACACTATGCTCGTATGAGCTATTTCTGAAGGGTATTTTCGCTCGGAAATGGCACCAAAAATAAAGGTTATTTGCTTAATAACGACGACTGTTCGAATTTCGATATATTTCCCTCTCAAAATATAAAATATCATGGGTGGTTCAACTTACAAACCTATACCCTAATATCTCTTTTGCCATAAACATTTTATTCGATATCGTGCGAACGCTTCTCAGAATTTGAATTAATAAACATGCATGTACTCATCAATACATTTTAAACGACCTATAATACATGGACTAAAATCTGTGTCCCCAATGACGCAAACTAAGTGATATGAACAATAGAAAAATTGTTTTGATTCAACAAATGATACACTTTATTGAGTTATACTCAGATGTACATGTCGGAAGCAATGCTTTACTAGCGTTTACTCAAAAATTCATGTGACATAAAAAGCAATGGAAATAAAATTGAAAAGTTATCAATTTGACTATGTTTCCAAAGGTGACTGAAATTATTTCAACTACAATATTTTTCAAATATTGGCTCTTAAATCGGCCCATCATCACCATTCAATAAATTGTCTCTATTTTTATGAATTAAAATTGCTTCATTGGCATCTAATTCGCTGCTTTTGTTTACGCTTCTTATTAACTTTAAACTACTTAAACTGATTGTATGGCCAGTTTCTAGTATATGTTGTGCTACGCTTGATTTTAAAGGCTCATTATTTTTTATATGATTACAATGTTCTTTGTATCTTTTTAAAATTGCTCTCTTACTTTGGCCAATATATTCTTTATTACAAACTTCACATTTAATGCTGTGAATACCCGATTTGTCGCAAAATTTAATTTTATCTTTAGATCCGCCAATTATACTTTTTAAATTTAAAGGATTATGTTCGGCCATATCTTGAGCATACACCTCGTATAAGAACCAAATTTTCTTGTGGCGCCATCTAGATGGCTTGCGTGGCGCAATGTATGTCATATTTGTGAAAAATTGATTTTAATTTACTTGAACATGATGGATTATATGAAAAACTCTTCCAAATTAAATCATTACTAGTGTCATCACGAATTAAATTTAGTGTTGTATGGTTTCGTAGCTCTTTTGTCCTTATATGTGACTTTAAAAGATCGTCAATCAGCTGTTCAGTATATCCATTTACGTTAGCAATTTGTTTGATTCGTTGAATTTCTGTGTTGAATCTCTCTTCCTTGAGTGATACGTTCACAGCTCTAAACAAAATTGAATGAAAACTCGCGATTTTATGCTCGAATGGATGATGTGAATCGGAAGTGATGTATCTATCCGTAGCCGATGGTTTACGATAAATATCATATTCTAGTTTCGATCCATTCCCTGTTACACACAAATCGAGAAAGTTCAATTTTCCATCTTGTTCTTCTTCATGTGTGAATTTTATAGTTGGATATTTGGTGTTGTTTAATCGATTAAGCAGGCTCCTCAATTGTTGTTTTTGATGATTGCATAAACATCGTCAACGTATCTTAACCACACACGTGGAAATATGCCCTCTTTCTTCAGCGTTGTCTCGAAATGTGACATGAATAGATTCGCCAAAAATGGACTCAAAGATGATCCCATGCTGCAGCCAAAGTTCTGACGATAGTATTTATCATTGAACCGGAACCAATTTTCGTCCATGCAGATTTTTGTCAATCGTACTAGCTCTCTTACTACTTCATACTCTAGTTGATTGCTTTGAAGCCATTGTTCTAGTAATTGAAGAGTAACGCCAATTGGAATATTTGGATAGAGGCTCTCGACATCGAAAGATACCTGCATTTCACCCTCCAACAAGACGAGATCTTTTGTCTTTTCAACAAACTCAATGGTGTTCTTGATTGCCACTGTCTCGAATTTGATCGGCATCGCTTCAAATTGACTCAGAAGCCATTGTGCCAATTTTTCATTCGGTGAATTGTTGTTCGATGTTATCGGGCGTACTTTTCTTCCCGGTTTGTGTAATTTGAGCTGTGTGTATAATCTTGGTATCGATGGATTTGATACATTTAGCTTCCATATGATTTCGCGGCCCAACGTTTCTGATGCTGTCTTGACCGCTTCCCTCGTTCTTCTTATCATACCCGGCAAAGGACTACGTCTCACCTCTTCGTACGGCCCACTTTCGATGAAATCTTCAATCATTTTTACGTACTCTTCTTTATCCATAATGACAATGTTGTTGCTTTTGTCTGCTTTCATAAAATACACAGCGTCACGTTTCTCTCTTAAGCCCTTGATTGTTTTCCAAATATCTTTCATTTGGTTGGTCATTTTCTGGCATTTGATGTTCTCTTTCTCATTCAACATTTCCGATCTTATCTGGATTTTCTCTTCGTCCTCAAGGTGTCTGATCGCTGTTTCAAAACTTATCAACGTGTTCTCTAATGTAGTTTGTTCATGTTGTTGAAAGGCAAATTTGAATCCCCTGTTTAGCAGGTGCATCTCATTGTCAGAGAATACTACGCTTGATAAATTCCTCACAAAATCTCCAATCGGTTCCACACTTTTGAAGTATGTTTTCTTCACGCTTCGCTCATTGGTTTCACACAGCTTCTCGAATTTCTTGATGAGGTTCTGTTTTTTGGCTTGATATTTGTGAGTGACAACCCTGTTGCCATGTTCGAAAAACAATCTCAAATCATCGCGTTGGCATGGATCTCGGCAATGTGTCAATTTCAAATACGTTGAGTATTCTTCTCAAATATTGACAATTTGGAATATTTCTCCCTGATAGCCAAACGAAGCTAAAATAATTGACCAATACGAATTGTCTTTTGTGCAATGCCACTTCTTGGAATTTTGGGACCACGCAATGGATGAACTTTGGAATGATTTCTCTCTTTTGACACCTTCTAAGGAAAACTATATCCGCTCTCAAACACTGAACTTTTGTTTTCAAACGCAAATATTTATTTCTTGCACTTGATATGAACAAGGATAGCGCCATCTACAATCGTTAGAAGAAAACTATGGTGCTAAGTGTCAAGCTTCAAAGCATAAAAAACCGCGGGGGTATCATTACACTAACAACAACATCATTTGCAAAATGAAATTCGTCCAAAACCTACTCACACGGAGTGAACGCGCGCAATTTACAAACGCGCTTGTTCATCTTGCCGGTCTCTCAATTCATCAACTCATTTGAAAATGGAAGAAAAACAATTTTTTTTTAAATACGGCTTTAATCTACCGAAAGAAAGCAACTTTTTTGTCTTGTGTGCCAGCGGCATATTTGCACAATTTTATTTGGCAGAATCGAAACATTTTTATTTATTTAAAATTCAAATAATAATTATTAATTCACCACACAACACAATGACGACTATGTTTGACACTGCATTGAATACACTCATCAATGTAGTTCCCGTCAAAATGTGTGGCGTTGTTGGTTTGACGTTTAACGATCGAGACTATCGCGGTGTAAAAAACGTTCAAACGATCAAATATTCCTCTTTGGCGTTCAAATTCATGTAAATTCATCGAGTTTGAAAAATATTCGGGAAAAATTTGTCGAAAAGCCAACTCTTGTTATCTAGTATGTTTCACGCGTGGTTTTTGCGATTTTCATTTGAATGAAAAGCAATGTGGGATTGGAGTGTTCGTATAAATTGTTCGTTTTGTCAAACTCAGAGATTACCATGGGATATTTTTATTCATATGGGATAAAAATATCGCATAAAAATCACAGATATTTTTCGCGCGTTGCGTTCAACGAAACGCATAAATACACAATAGCGATTCTGCACACACAGAGTCGCTATTTTTTCGTTGTACTCTTCACACTTACGATGAGCTGCGCGGAGCGTGCATGCACATGTTTCGCTCACTTCTTTCTTCTAACACTCTTCGTGTGTCAACACAATGTCTGTGTGTGTATCGCTCCAAAGTCATTTGTAAACGACGTCAATGAGCTGGGTACGAAGAGTGTCATCGCGCAGCTCATTGACGATCGATTTTCAGCTATGTCTCGCATTGACAAAGAGCCACGAGTTGGTAGAGTGACCAATTCTGAATTGATATCACGATCATCGAAGCTGAACGAATTTTGTGTAAAACATCTTT